AGATTCCAATCGGACGGGATTGCTTCGGTGGTCCAAACATTTTGGAGGAGGACGTTGGCTCCCCAACAAGTGATGGACCTCCATTTTTGAAGAGAGCCGGAGGGTGTTCGTCTGGGCAACGGCCTATGTAGCGCTTTAGGAGTCAAAGCTCATGAGCAGCCTCAGCCTCAGAAGGTGGTAGTCTACACACTATGCCGCACACTCCGGATTCCCGAATGAGGGATCACCGGGGCTGCAGGCCAGTTGAACTGCTGCTCAAGGTGCTCAGCGCAACGCACAAGGCGACGTTCTTGGCTGTGGATCCGCTCGCCATTGGTTTCGCAAAAAACTCCGCTTACATTACGCCTTTTGCCGCCAGTGGATCGGACCAGGTAGAAGGCTTTCGGAAGTGAACTGACCACTTGTTGGTTCGGCGGAGCTGTACGCCACCGGGCGTGTCCCCAGGTTGTGGATCGGGGAAGGCCTTCCTTGTGAAGGTAATTGTGGATAAGTCTCGGCTGTTCGTAGGCGAAATAAATAAGCAGTCGCGGACGATCAGCAGCAGCGTCCTAGAGCGTGGGGGGTTCTGGGCTGGTCACTTGGTTCCTCATTAAATACTACAAGAGCTCGTAAGACACTGTGTCAAAGCCAAGATGATCGGCTATAGAGTCACTGACCACTCACGTTTGCGACCAGAGGTGTATTCAAGGGAGGGAGGGTGACACATACATAGACAGGACTGAACGTCAACTGTCTCAAAGGGTAACTGAACAGTTCCCAAATTAGCTGAAGCAGTCGTTGAGGCAACAAGGTGAAGCGGATCAAGCGATGAACAAGAACCCCGCTTCATCTATCGCTAAACAGCTTATGATGACTCCTCATCCAGCGCAGCCGACCAGATCCTTCAAAGTGCTATTGCCTAATAGGAATTCTAAACTGCTGGAAGCTGTATAACTACCGCTTTACCCACTTCATTTATTTTAGATCTAGCAGGATTAACTGAGAGTTTATGCTTCCGGGTACCTTTAGAAGCAACTGCGTTCCAACCAACATTCGTGTTAACGCCCTTCTGAGATTTCGGAACAGTTTGGAGAGGGAACAAAGCTCGGATCGCACTTATTTCGAGAAGAGTGGCAATGGATGGTTCAGACGTATTTGGGCCACTAGATGTAATTATACACTGAGTAACCCGTTTTTAGCACGCTGCTCAGCTTCCAACCCCAATTTTTAACTTGAGCCTGTTGCGGAGGGCTGAGGCCTACTCACTGTCACGGTTTCTTCGAATAAAGTAATTTTGGTATTTTTTCTCCGTTCAATCGTTGCCATCAGGTTCTCGTATTTTTAGTCAGTTCTTGCACGATCTTGACCAGTGGGATGGCCATACATACTACCCGAGAGCACAGAGAAGCTTGTTTGCCATCCTACGGTTTCAATTGAGTTACAGTGAGCTTAGTACCGTTACAGTGTAACGCTGAGAGGCAATCGAAACATTGAGCCCCTGTTAGTACATTGTTCTGGCATGAAGCAAATACACAAGCTACTTTCATGCTGGACGCGGCAGAATAGGCTTATTTTGATTAGTCGTTCCAAACTTATCATGTTTCCTTTTGTGTATCACTTCTAAAGTCCAGAATGTACATTATGCATTGTACATTATTATTGCATCGCGTGCCCGTCGATCGATATCTTTCAGGTCTGTGACTGTGCGCTCGACGGCGGTCGTAGCGGTATGGATGACTCCTTCGAACTGAATTGGACGGCCGATATTAGCACGTCTCTAGCACGTTGCTATGCGTCATATGGCCTTGCAAGGACGGGTTTAAGTGAATGGATAATTCGCTCAGAATTCCCTCTGAGTAAACAAAGCGACGAAGCGATACGGGAAAGTTGCCCTACAGCTTTTTCAATTAGCAGTCGACAGCTGTGGTTGCTGACTGATCGTATAAATACCTGATTTGGCTTGCGTTTGAGACCACAAATATTGCTATGCTGCTCGGCATTTGGAGATGTGCGTTCTTGTGTTTCTGTGGGTAGCCTGCTGAAATTGCTATATCGAGTAAAAAATGATCCGCACAAGTTAGATCCAAAAGATGAAGTGCACTAACTAGCGCTGGTTAAGCTGGATCCACTGACTGTCGGCATGCGCGTGTGCGATGAAACTTGGGAGGTTTAATCCATTCTGGGCACGAGATCAGAGAGCTTGGGACTGCACACCTTGAATAGCCACCCACTTGTCTGGGTTTCCTGCGTAAAGGGGATATCTTTTTACGTATTCATTCTGCAGCACGTCCTGTATTGTTGTTGCAAACATGAGATACTGACTATTGACATGCTTTTCGATTCCAAAAGCGCATCAATTCACTATCCACAGCTATCTGCTTATAATGTATACATACCTATGACCGGTACTGCTTTCTGTACTCCTGAATTCATGTATACAGTTAGCCTAAATGGGTTGTAAAACTGCCTGAGGTGTTTGAATTGCACATGTAGCAAAACGGGAGGTGGTTCTGCAACACGATCTATTGCGCGGTACTCTGACGTCTAAAAAACGTTTATAAAACGTCGCGGGAGGCTTAAATGACTGTACGT